GTAGCAGCAGCCTTGGTATTTTGTGACTTAAATGGCAAACTCATCATTAATCGAACACAAACTATTAACTAACTTGTTGAAGAATCTTTTATATAAAGGAAGTAGATGTTATGCAACAGGGTTTTTTCTTTTTTCGTCCGCTAAGAGTAAAAATCTACCCTGAAATACTAAACGGCAGTCATGTGGGACAGAATAGAAAAAAACGTTGACTCACTTCTACGTTGATAAAAGAAATGTAGAAAATCATTGCACAATGACCACGTAACTGCAATTGTACATTTACAACTGTTTTTTTTTTTTTATAATTTAAAATAAGTATTTGAAGTCAAATGAGAAACGACTTTGTGGATATACTTTAAACAAAATACTATTAAAAATTCTATTTTGATTTCTAATAATTAATTCTTTTACTTCTCGTTGGCTGCTGAAATAGCCATTTATAAAAACGGGCCTACAAAATCGATAAAGTTGAAAAAAAATTGGAATTTTTGGAAACAAATTGTTTTCTATATACAGTCAATACAGATCTTTCGGAATTTTCGTACGATAGAAATTGATACAGAAACCGACTAGCTATTAGGCAGCTGAAGGGCAATCAAGAACAAAGTTAATATATGCATTATAAACTTCAAGTCATAAAATGCTGGAATAGTATTTACTATGAATTAAATGCCTTCCGAGGTTATAATATGACTCAAAGCAAAGAAGGATGCTTATTTAATAAAACGTATCGATAAAAAACATTCAGTTCTTTGAAATTAATTTTGATTGATTCACTACTCCCTTTTTTCCATAACTCCGATAATATCGGATAGATGTTGCCTTGGCCAACGCAATAAAGTACGCAAAGAAAAAAAAATCAAGACTTAGTATGTCGTTCAATCTCCTCTCCTTTTCCATTACACGGTCACAAGATCAATCAAACGACCCTATACGAAGAGATGGACACTCAAAGGATCAGACAACATAATTACCATGTATTGTTGACCATTCTATCTCATATCGAACACCAATGGCCAAGCTATCGAAGAACATAGCTCAATACTGTGCTTGAATACAACTTAATTCTGTCAAGATAATGAATAAGTGATGGTGTAATTGATTCTTATTGTTTTCCAAAAACTTTCACAGAAAATAAGTAATTTTATTTTTTGTGCAACACGATTTAATTGAAGTATGGAAATATGGCAATAGAAATTTCATTGTCTCTCAATAGGATGTAAATATCAGAAAACAAACAACAAAAAATCTTCAATGTTTTTGATCAAACGTTTTTTAGCAAAATTTTCTCAATAGAAAGTAACCATTCATTTTTTTATTGCGCTGAATGCATATTTAAGATGGGACATGATTCAACTTGGCTATGCACAATACTGCTAGAAAAATTAGAGCTCAAGAAAAATAAATTTGTCACTTAGCTATTCACTTTACAACATTCCAACAGATTGGGTGGGTGTGAGATGTTACTTTCTAAAATCAGAGATCTATTAAAGAATTAGAATGAAATATAATTGACTTTAAGATAGGTATCCTTTGTCCTTCTTTCCCACTCAAGATAATATGTGACGACTAAGATCTTTTATCATGAATACACATGAATAATAAATGCGAACGGTATAGATATAGATGCATATGATCCTTTGAGAAGGATACCGACAACTACCGTTTGAACAGCTATTCTTGAATTATAGAGTCTTAAAAAGTAGCTTTTCGAAATTTCTGACTTTTAGAGTTTCTTGTAAGATATTCATTAAAAATCGAAGGTTCAATATTTTTTAAAAAAGACTCGTTGTTGCATGTCATATCTTGAATTGAACAAAACCAGTTATGACTAAAAGTAATTGGTTTTTATATATAATAAATCAGAAAAGAATAGAGTTATTTTTATTATTTAAGCAATTGAAGATTTAATATTATTATTGATAATTGTTTTAGTACTAAATATTGATGCTCGAGCTGTTTGTCCAAGTAATTTAAGATTTTGTCCATTATCAATTGTTGTTAAAGGTGTTCGTTTTTTAACTGTTGATTCAGCTGGTCCAATTTTTCGTCGTGTTTTAGGTAATTTTGATCGAGCTCGAAGATGTGTATAAAAATTAGCAAATGATTCAACAATAATTGGCATTGGTAAATCAATAATTAATACACCAGCAACTAAAAAAAAGAAACTATTAATTTGTTTTTTTTTATTCTCTAAAAAAAATGACATTTCAGTACCTGTTGAAACAGCACCAATTAACATTCCTAACATAGTTTTTGGATATAAATCTCCATAACCAATTGTTGACATTGTTATCATGTTAAACCATAAAGCATCTGGAATTGAACGAAACATATTCTCATTAGGATGTCGTGTTGTCATGCGTTCAGCATAATAAATTAATGCTGCAAATATAGCAACAGCAATTAAAACAAAGAATATTAATAGCCATAAAACTGATGATGAATATTTCATTGATGTTATAATAACTTTTAAACCTGGATGATGATTAAATAATTTGAATAATCGCATTATACGTATAGTTGATAATAGATCAAGAGCTTCATTATCATTAACATTAAGTTTTATTAATGCCCATGTAAAATAAAACCAAAATGTTGCTAGAACAAAAGAAAAAGAAATATTCTACATTGTTTTTTTTAATTTCTCTTGCTCTTGCTTTTATATGCATATATTATAATCATCATTTATTCTAAATAATACGAAAGTCTTCAACTAATAGATGGATTATTCTTATGATGATATACTTATTACAATAATATAGTCGTGTAAGAAGAACTTATAATTATGAAAATTAAATGTAACACATATCTTTAATGTAATCGAGAACATGAACAGTTATTAAAATATATATATAAAGCATGCACTATATTTAAAGCTTGTGTAGAAAGGCGTAATAAACTCACAATGAGTATTGCGTTATTTTTACATTATTCAAACGAGCTTATTTCAAGAAAAGTGATTGACAACCAAAACTAAACTGATGTTGAGTGTGAATCTATTGTTCTATATTTCGATCGTTGGTAAGGTGATCGAACAGTTTATTACTATCGTTGTATTCCTAGTTAATGTCCTTCATGAAAAAATGAGAATTAATACAAGTCAAAAAATGAGAATTAATACAAGTCAAAAACTGAGAATAAATCAAATCAATAGAGTTAGCATTAAAAATAGACTTCTACTTTATAATTATCAAAACACTTGTAAATGATGCAAAAACTAAAATAATAATATTCAACATATTTAGCATTAAATGATCTCAATCCAAAGGCACATAATTAAAAATCATCAAGAATTTTAATTATGAATATTAATTTATATTATTTTATCTTAAAAATATAGAAATTACACACGTCTGTTTATTTATGTCAACATGTTCAAGAAAATAATACGTATAGTGAAATACTAGATGAAGAAAAATTCTTGATTGAGAAAATGCAAAAAATCAAATACTAAGATCAATATTTTTTTTTTTTTGTCAGACAGAAAATAAAAACAACATACCAAGAAAATCAATAATATTTAAAAATGATTGACAAAATTCTTTTTTATTTGGACTAACAATAAATCTTATCATTATTTCAAATATAAACCATGTATTGCCTAAATAAATATATAAATAAACTGAATGAAATAAAATAAACATACATATCCATTCAACAATGTCAAATGATGGATGAACATGCTGTCGACTTAATGTTGGTGTTCGATCTGTTGTTGTTTTATTAACATAAACAGTGACAAAATCAATATCAGTTATACGAAACATGGATAATGTTTGTAAAACAAATGATAGTATAGATACGAGAATAAAAAATATTGAAATTACAGTAATAACTTTAGCTATAGTTGATGATCGTGGTTCTTCAAATATTTGCCATATAATCATTATCATTTTTTTATATTTAGGTAAACGACCTTGAATATAATCAAAATCATCATCCCAACCAAATTTTTTTATTATTTCTTGTTGAGATGAACGTACTGTATCTAATTCTAAACTATCTAATATTGATAATGTTTCTGCAGTTGATCGATGTTTTGTATAAGTCATCCTATAAGAAGAAGAAAAAAACAAACAAACAAACATGAAGGCAATTATTGGTTTTCTTTTTTTTATTATTGTTGTTGTTATTATTGTTTATATACAAACCAACAACATGGTTCAACTTCTTCACGTTGTAAACCCCAATATGATAATTCATCTTCAAATAAAGGTCCACAAACATTTGTTGGATAATGTAATTTTCCTGTTCGATAATAATTTAATATTTGAGAAAAAACACCCGGATGACGATCAAAAAAATATTCATTTAATATTGGATCATAATATGATAATTGTTCAGTTAATTTTGATAAACGTGTTGCTGGTAATTTTTTTAATGTTGATTTTGATGTTTCAAAACGTGTACCACCAACATTAAGAATAATACGTGCATCAATATCTGAATTACCAAGTAAATTTACAGCCATTAAAACAAAAAAATAACAAAAATTGCCGGATTTTCAAATGACTTAATAAAAATGTTATGTCTTGAATTATATGTTTTATTTATTTAATAGACCATCATGCTACATACATACCTTTATTAATTGCAAGAAAAGAAATAAGAACATGCAATACTATTGACAATTATTGTAATAGAGAAAGAAAGTTTTGGCTTATTGATCATAAAGCATATGCCTAACAACGGCCAACATTTGTCGAGATGAAGGAAGAACAAAATTAGGCTCTAGTTCCACTCACTCGTATTCTTATATCAAATAAAAACTAGCAAACGACAACGAGAAAAATAAGAATTTCTTCGTATATATTTTTTTTTCTCTCGGAAAAAAAGATGGTAAGAAATGTATTTCTGTAAAAGAGCACACACAATGACAAAAAAAAAAAAAAAAAGAAGAACAAGAAAAAATAATCGATGCGATGTGCGTCGCTTGCTGTCTTTCTCATGGACGTGCACGCACATACACATTGACGCATATAAAATAGAGTTACTTTTCAAATCACTGATGAATCGCCGTATGCAACCATAGTTACATCTTCATCAATAGATTGGCCACGTGATTTTCGTTGTGAACGAGTATTTGGCGTTGCATCACCTAAATTTGGTGATTGCATATCATTTCCATTTTTATCTCGATTTCGAGCGAATGGACTTTTTAAAATAGATAACAATGTCTTTTTGCCTGCTTGTTCATCAATTCTTTGATCAGCATAACGATCAAAAATTGGTTTACGTTTAGCTAATTTAACTTTACCATCAGCATCAGGTTCATGTACACCATAAATAGTTTTTCCATCACGAATTACAAGAAATTCAGGATTAATTTCACGATCTTTATCTTCTAATTCACGTAATTTTTGTGCATAACGATTTAAATCATCTGTATCAACACCATCGGGATCGTCATAATCAGCTACATCAACATTAGCAGGTTCACCAAAAAGTAAATTTTTTTCATCACGTACAAGTGTATTTATTCCATTACGAAAACGAGTTAAGAAATTACCTTTTGAAGCTGTTGTTTTTTTTCCTGCTTTTTCATCTTTATTACCACCGGGTAAAAGTTTTTTTATACGATTTTTTCCATCTGTACGAGTTGATTTTGGAAAATTAATAATAGCCCATTGATCACCACCAACATAGTCAGTAAAATTAACACCTGATGCTAAATTATCATATGCATCCATGATAGCTGCTTCATATTCAGTTGTATCATTATCAAATGGTGCTGGATTTTCCATATCATCAATCATAGGAATAGTATCATTTGGATACAAATCTATTTCTAAAATAAAAAAAATTTTTTTTTAAAAGTTTTTCTTTATGAGATTATGATTCAAAAAGAATCCGAGTATTCTAACATGATATCTAATTATAAATTCAAATGAAAGACATATTTTTTTTGTCATTAAAAAAACAATTATTTAGTTTATAATTTATGCATCAAATTTCTAAGATGTCTATGGTATTATCTATTTAAGAAATACGATGTATGAGATAAACATACCTTGATTTGTAGAAGATACATCATTGAGATTAATATTTTGTAAATTTTCAAATGAATCGGTCATTGCTTGTATGGGTTGTTTAACTTTTTTAGATTTTTTCTTTTTAGGTTTTACATCATTAGTTGATTCTAATAAATCCATAGATGAAGTTTCAATCATTTGAAAATCATCATCATTGATAGGAGATTTTGGTGCTTTGGATTTTTTCTTTTTGATAGATTCTTCTATAAGTAATGAATCATTATTTTCATTAACTATTTCAATTTTTGGTGCACGTTTTTTCTTTGATTTAATTGGTGTTTCTTGATCAGGAATAGATACATCTTGAATACTATTCTCTTTTTCAAGAGTATTGCGTTCTTTTGTTTCATCCATCTGATCTAATTCATAAATATTTGTCGTATTTGGAATTTTTGGTGCTTTTCTTTTGTTTTCACTACTTTTTACTGGCATCTCTGTTTCGTTTGCTGGAGCTTTTGGTGCACGTTTCTTTTTTGTAGAACGATTTTCATTAGGAACATCGTTATTGTCTATGAAATCGTCTATTTCTGTATTCATCATCGTTAATTTAAATACTTTCTTTCTAAAATATAAATTATATTTAATGACCTTTTGACGCGAAAAAAAAAATCTGCGTATGAAATATATGATATTAACACTATTAGGACAATATTTGATGAGTAAGCAAATATAAGTTGTTTTTTTTTCTTCAGCTATTCAAAAATCGATGAAGCATATCCTCTCATTTGCTACCAATTGCATAAAGATAAATATAGGATATGATAGAAAACAAATTGTAAACAAATTATTACAAATAAAAGTACACAGAAAAAAAAATGATATTATTTTTTTTTTTGTAATTAATCATAAGTTTGGTTTTTCTTGTTTCTTGTTGTCCTATGAATAAAGAGCGAAAAAAAAACAAGAATCAAAGAAAAATAAATCATAATATTTATGAATACCGTTGAGAACAATTATGAACACGTCTCGGTGGAACACTCTAAAAGTAAAGAAAAAAAAATCACAATAAAAAAAAGAAACAAAATTTATTATTTCTTGTACTTTAGTTCGTTTTCGTATAGTTTCTAATTCAGTTTCATATGCTTTTAATAATGTTTCAAGGTATTTTTCAATTTCATCAATACATCGATTTTGTGGATTAAATGCATTTTCAATTAAAATGTTATATAATTGTCGATTGATAATTATCTAAAACAAAAAATATTGAAATTTGAAAAAAATTTCTTTTTTTTTTTGTTAAATTTTACACAATGATTATGAATTCGAGCTTCCTTTAATTTAAATAATTCTTCTGCTATTATTTTATGTCGTTCATAAAGTTTAACTGATGTTTGAATAGAATTTGATGGATGAATTATTATTCGATGTAATGAATTTGATCTTAACAAAAAGAAAAAAAAAACAAACCATGATAGGTTACCAAAAAAAAACCTCGAAAAATGCTCTTTTCTTTCAGTACTTTTTGTCATCACTATGATTAATTGATGTTATTGTGGTTTTTGATTCAGCATATATATGACGGCGTTGTTGTGCAGTATGTTTTTCTTCTTTTGAAGTATTTTTTAAATATGTTTGAGATTTTGATGTTTTTATTTTTAATTCTTTAAAATGATCATCAATTATTTTATTATGTAAACATAAATTAGCTTGATTTAATAAATATTCTGTTGATTTTTTTGTTGGTATTAATTTAACTATCGATTGAGAAGATGAATATTCAGATAAAGAAGAAGTTCTATTATTATTATTTTTATTAGTTGAAGATATTTTCGTTAATGTTTTTCGATGTTGATTTTCTATTAAAATTTTTTTCATTTTATATTGACGAAAATATTTTTGAATACGTCGAGCTAAAATATGTACTAGTAAATTGCCTCGTTGACCACCATGATTATAAACGAGATATTCAGCACAAGCATCTTGATGACGAATACAAGCAAGATCATATGGTGTTAAAAAATTACCCTAAAATATTAAAAATATAAATTTACATAGTACATTCAGAATTTCTTATTGTTACAAACATATAATTCTAGTAAATGTATGAAGTTTAGAGTATCCTAAACAGTGGATATTTTTTCCATAGAACAAGCAGTAACGTTCATCGAATCAGAATCGGATAATCGTCCCGAAGATACTCTTAACTCAAGTTTGGAAAGCTCACGCCAATTTTATATTGATATGCTAAAGAAAAATTTCATTGAAATTTTATTCGATTTGGATTTATGACTACTTACGAATTTCAAGCAGAAAAAAAACGAGTTTTTTTTTGTTTTTACGAATCGGTAAAGTGGAAGATGTAATTTCAGATTATATATAATTTTCTCGGAATACTGCGCGTAACAAAAAGTGTAAAGACTTCTATGTTATCAAATAACCTATAAGTCAAAGTGAATGTTGTCCTATTAAAAAAGTAGGCTTTCAATTTTTATAAGTTTCTAGGACTTGACTACAACATACTTTTAAATGTTTAATTTATTAAGTTATTAAAAAATTGTTCACAGAATGTTTTAGAAACTGAGCGTGTACTTAGTAGGTGTTCTTGTACTAAGATAACTCTCAGGAGAATATTCAAACAAGATCCTGTGACTTATTATACGGATGCTTTGTACACAATATATTTTTTTGATCATATTGATTATTGTGATCTACTTGAATTTTTGTCTTTACGCCCATGATAGAATTAATTTTTTTATTTTGAGTAAAATTCAAAATTCATAATAGAAAATTTCTCCGTTAGTTATATGAATAAAATATTCAGTTCTGTCTAATTCAATTGTGTATATTACTGAACAGATTGACACTTGCATTCTATTCGTTGATTAGATTAGATAATTTTGCATACATAATGAAACTCATTAAATGTTATCTCCAATACGGAAACAAACATCCAGCTAGGCTACTACAAAGCAACTCAACTGAAACAAATAAATTTGTTCATTTGCTATTTTGCATTCCATGTATTTGTTTATACAAATTAGCTATGCATTAATAATATACGATTCAGAAATAAAACGTTACAGAATGTCTATTCCTAGATCTCATTGATAAACATGTTCTGGGAGGAATCATTTGTTTTTATCAACTACAAAGATATTGTTTTCTTTGTTGTATAATTTGACCTATGCCAAATAAAATGAGTCGAGAAACCAGAAAAACATTCACATAATAAACATCGAAAATTTATTATATGAATATTTTTTTTTTGAATGTACTAGACAATTTAAAAGAAAGAAAATATTCTATTACTGAATAATAATAAAGAAATAAACATTTCGTATCATTATATTTGTGCTGTATGTTATTAAAGTTTTATATTAATTCAAAAAGTACTACAAAAGTTTAAGATAGGTACATATGACCTCGAGTTTTTCAAAGAAAATGTTTGTCAAAAGCAGTTACTTTATCAGATATACTTATATTCTTTCAAAGTACTTTATATCGATGTAAAATGAGTCCCATGGTCATTGTCAAAATAAGCAACAGATTTGATTGTTTCTTGAATAATTTTTGATAGAAACAAGATAAAGACCTGGAGTTTTCATCAATCAAGAAAGAAGACACTAGACCATCTAGATATGTCAAAATCTAATCAGTCAACAACTGATTAATTAACTGAGTTCTCTGTGAATATTTGGAAAACAAAGATACTCTAGAATCGTTTTTCAGTGGATTTTGACTAAAAATATGATAAATTGATCAAGAAAATTCTTCTCTTTCTATCTATTCTAACCTCAACTTTCTATACTGCTTGGTTCAAGACTTATAAGGATCTTCCCGGTTGTAGCAAATCGACATTTGGAAACTTTAAAAATCATGTACATAGCATAAAAACCGAAATTTGAAGTATTGAACAAATAATCTCAGATCACTTTAATGTTGAATGAAATTTTCCAAGGTTAATTTGTTAAAATCAAGAGTCTCCAGAAAATCCTTATAATCCTCGAACGAAACATTCTAATCATATCAAAACTCATAGAAGTATTCTTATTTACTATTTAAGAAGAAAAAAAAAAACTTACAGCTTTTGTTTGTATAAATGAATTAACTCTTGCACCACATTCAATTAATAATTTACACATTGATATATCTCCTAAACTAGCAGCCAAATGAAGCGGTGTTCTATGTTCATCATTTTGAATATTAACTTTCTTAGGATATAATTGAAGTATATATCGAACAGCATCTAAAAATAAATAAATAATTTTCCATAAAAAAAAAAATCAGAGACAATATTTCATATACCAAAATATCCTGTTTGTAATTGTGATAGATCATTATTTTTATTACGAAGTTTACTAAGTGATATTGAATTAATTGCTTCATGAATAGGATAATCACCACGTTTATTTTTTATCCAAATATCAGCATTACATTCTATTAAATGTTTTAAACAATTAATATTTCCTTTTAATGCTGCACAATGACTTGGTCTATTATTATTAAAATTAAGATAATATTAAGTAATTAATTAACTTACGTTCTTCCACGATTATCTTTATGATTTGAATTAGCTTTTAAATCAAGTAAAACTCGACAAGCATTCGAATGTTCTAATGTAATAGCATAAAATAAAGGTGTACAACCATTAATATCTTCACCTAGATTATTTTGTTGTTAAAAAAAGAAAAAAAAAAATAATTATTTTAATTGTTTAATACAAACTTTCTATTGAACATCCGTATAATTCGATTAACATACGAATACAAGATGTATGTCCACAAGTTGCTGCACAATGAAGTGCTAAATTAAAAGTATTAATATGAAAATAAAATATTGAATATTAGAAGAAAGTTTTACCTGTTAGAGAATCTTTATCGGTATGCAATGGATTTGCACCAGCTTTGTATAATATACGTAATGCATCAATAGCATCTAAATATTAAAGAATATATATTCAAGAAAAACATATAATAATTTGTTTATTGAATAATAAAAATGTCGAAAGATCAACCTGAAAATTTTTGTTCCTTAAATGTGTTTATCTCAGATCATCCGTCCGATTACATCCTCACTACGTTTTAACATACATTTGTTCTTACAGTTAGTTGTTATACATAGGTTGGGAAGATATCGAACGATTGAATCTACCACTAGGCAGCACTTCGTACTGCAAGGTAGACGAAAGGTAAAGATATTCTTCTTTCTTCCAAATATTTCTTTTCTATTTCACTGAATTTTTTTGTCTAAGGATACTTCTTCATATTTCGAAGAGACTTGGCAAGTTTTCCGAAGACTCGAGACTCTAGAAAAAAATTTGATAGCTTAGTCAAATATTAATAGGAACTCAAAACATTTTAAGGTTTTTATTATAACACAATGTGGTATTTAATGATCAAAAAAAAATCCATGAAATCAGAAGGAGATATCACAGGAAGTTATCTCGTTAGACAGGACTTTTTTATGGTTTCCATTGTAAGAATTCAAGATGATTGAACTTTTCATTATGAAGAAGTAGAGTTTCTACTGAAATTTGATTTATGAGCATAGATCCTCAACTGATAATAGTACTGGTTGAAGTAATTTTTCATGTACAAATAGAAATCAATGGAGTTAGTAAAAAATCGCTTCAATCAATATTGGTTGCTCGAAGAATCTTTTCTCGTCAGAGATGAATTTGAACCTACTTTTCTTACTTTTGGCTTCATTCAGAATAGACAATAATGTTCGCTCTCGATTGTAAAAAGCTTAGTTTAGATATCAAGATCAGTATAAACCTTACTATATATAACATTGAAACACAAAAAAAAAACAGTTGTCTTAGTTGCAGTTCTGTTCAAACTAAATCATATCTGTCTAAGGATTGTGACTATTTAGTTTACTCATGCCTATTCTGACTAGATCAACTGTATTAAAGCATATCAGATTTTATTCTATTCTTTATTTCAATGAATTCTAACAACTCATACTATCACAATCAAATAGATCTTGACTGTAGCATCTATTGATAATTCTGTTATTTATTCGACAAATTTATAATAAATCGAACTACAAAAAATTATTTTCTTTTTTATTTTAATGTTACTCAAACGTTTTTTTTTCTTCATTTTAATATTTTTCAAAAAAAAAAAAAAAAATTCTTACTTGCACTAGCAGCCCAAATAAATGGTGTTCGTTTTTGTTCATCAAGACAATTAACATCAGCATTATTATCAATTAATTTTTTTAAAATAGCTAAACCTAATACATCAAATTAAAATTAATCTTTCTTTCAGACAAACAAACACCTTAATACTTTTAGCCGGATCATTATTTCCACACAATTGTGATGCATAATGAATTGGAAAAGCTCCATAAATATCAGATGTATGTACCGGTGCTTCATATTGAACAAGAATATCAAAAAGATCAAGATGTCCACAGACTAATTTTTATTTCAATTAATTTTTTGTTTTATAAATACAAAAAGAAAAAAACAATTTACCTGTTATCCAATGAATAAGAGAATGTAATTCATTATCAACTAATGTTACATCTGCACCTTGTTCACAAAAATATTTTACCATAATATAATTACCATTTAAACAAGCTAGAATTTATTGATATAATTTCAAAAAAAAAAATATCTATTTTTATAATCGTTTACCTAAATGAAGTGCTGAAAAACCTTCATTATCTTTTATATTAATAATAGAATTATCATATTCTAATAAAAGTCGAGCACAATCAATATTTTGATGATCACAACAGTAATGAAGTGCTGTTCGACCTTGTTCATTTAATTGATTAATATTATACTAAATTATTGATTTAATATTTTCAAAAACAAAAAAAAAATAGACATTCTTACTTTTTGTTCAATTAAATATTTTATTTGTTCAATATCTACTTTTTGGCAAGCTTCAAATAATAACATATCTAACATTAAAATAATGAATTGTTTAAGAGAGATACTTGTAATTTGACACTTTATATCTTAATTATCAATATAAACATAGTAACAAGAAAAACAAAGTAAAAGAAAAATAGAGAAAAGAAAAAGATACTATTCTTTATATTATATTCAATAATGAATGAACATCGAAAGAAATTAACAGACATTCATGTCATTCTGTTGCTGTCATGCCAGCAGGAAAGAAGATAAGAAGGAGAAAAAAAGAAGAGAAATGAGAGATATAGAATATGACAATTTTTCATGCGTTCCAAAGATGATAAAAAAAAAAATTTAACAAGAGAATAGATTAGAAATATGACATAATAACTAATGAAATGAATAGAAAATATTTTCAAAATTTTATATAAGTACAAAAAAAAAACCATGATTTTCTTTTAAGTTTTTCATATTCAATGGAAAACAACATATCACTTAAGAAAAGAATATAGAATCAAAAGAAGAAGAAAAAAAAAAGAATACAATGAATTAACTCATGCGTATTTCTTTTTATTTCACCTTTTTTAACTCTTTTATTTCACTTGAATGATGCATTAGTTATAAATAGAACTGCACTTTTCTATGAAAAATGCTCTTTTTTTTTGTAAGCATATGGATCTTACCTACGTAGCTTAATTATAGTTATTTGCTTTGATATAGAATATAAAGTAGTCTTTAATTAAAGTAGTGAATTTCTTGAGGTGATACTCAACTATTTATTTTAATAATCTTATGAAATATTTAAGTAGATCGTCAACATTTTTATATTTGTGGACATTTTATTTAGAAAGTATATTAACAAAAAAAAAAACATTGCTCATGGGACTTTTTAAAATGTAGCTTAAAAGCTAATTTTTACAATATTTTAGAAAAAATTTTTGTTAATACTATATCGATGAATGTGGAGTCATATAATCCGATGTTTTCGAATTAGTTCTTTGTATTCAAGCTGATGTGTTGATTACAATTAAGATATTTTATTTTATTATTATTTATTTAGATATTCACTCTAGTGAATATTGTCTATCAAATTGCACTTTAAATCAAATTGAATTATAAAAGATTTTTGATAAGCTCATCCTATAGTAAAATTTTTGTTCGCATTTAAAACAGATTACATATTATAAAAACATAAATGAAATACTCGAAATGAATTATTGTATATATATAATTCTTAATGTCAAAGTTTATGTTCTAACGAGGTAATGATTTCAATATCTGTATTCATTGTTTATGAAGGAAGTACTTTAAGTTTCTTTAGACGTCTACACCCTTTCACACATCCACATCTACAGAATTGAAAAAAAAAAGTCGTTGACATAGAGAGAGATAAGCAGAAGTATCCTCTTTCATAATCATAATGCCTCTTAATAAAATATTCTACTTTTTTTTCCAATCGGGTTTCTTAAGAAGTTTTCAGTTAAATGATATAGTTTTATGCACGTGTGAGTTGATTAATCGGTAGGTCTGAACATTTTCTGCGTGTACATCCATCCTCCTGCACTTTATATACAGCAAGAAACATGAATGCGTACGAACAGATTTTCGTAGCAACCATTATTTCAATGATCCAAACCGTCCGAACATCTATCATGCACTTCATTCGATATCTACAAGATATAATATTATGGATTGTTTGACAATCACGGTCAAGTATATAAGACAAATTTTGAAGTCAGAAATTCGGTTCGGTTCTGGTAAATGTAACATAAAATAAAATAATATGTTAGTATTAATTGAATTCATTGTTGAGAGCAGCTGTAGTTAATTATCGTTTGAAATAGGTTTTGAGTAAAATTTCGAAATGATCTTTCGAGCTACTATCTTGAATAATTTTTAGTCTTATATTCTTTGTTTAATCAATCGTATTGAGCTATTCTTTTAACGTCTACGCCAGAGTTTCGACGTAGGTCTGTTTACAATGAAAATGCAGATCTACACCCATACACACTCACACAACATCTATTGATCAAGGTTATATAATTGATTATTTCCTTAAGTCAAATAAGAAATCAATCCTATTTATTGTTTTATTGTTGGTTCTAATGTCAATCATTTCAAATATAATAAAGAAATTTCTTCAATCGACTTTATTCATTTTGTGAGACTGACATGTATTGTTAGTAAGAAAAAACAATGAGAGGAAGCTGTAAATCAAATTTTTCTACCTTTTCAGATCTTTCCACTGTAGAGAGGTACAAAAGAAATAAACAATTGCTGTTTTTGCTTTGTCTCATTTAGCTACTTGATATACTTGGCATATATTTGAAAGTGATAAAAATTGGAGAATACAGCCGATTTCAAATACTCCATATAACTATTTCGATAATTGTCTTATTCAACGACTATGTATAGAGTTTTATATACGAATTGAATCAAAGACATAGGATACATCTAATGAGAATCAACCTCAAAAAACTAATTAACTATTGATAATTAGTAAAAAGATCTGTTTTATATTGCAATTTTCTGTGTATTAAATAATTCAAGGTGCATAGCAAACATATTTACTATTTTTTATTTTGCAACTTTCTTATATAGAACGAACGAGCAGCTTTAACTCAAAACTTGCACTCATAATCTTCTGTCAAAAAATATAAAAATTATACTCTATATTTTATCATCAGATGAAAGAGGTATCATATACTATCAATCTATTAATTCAGCCGAATCCGCTGATTTTATTAAATTTAATAACTTCTGAAGAAGAAATTTCGATATTTCCTCTTGATCACTATCTTGCCAACGCCCGTACCTTCCTCAAATGCGATCAATCTCTCGTCTATAAAACAGAATATTCCTCAAAGTATTTCATTCTTGTCTTACTGAAATATGAACTATCTACTGAATGCTTCAATCATATAGTATGAGATAACGAGGTATGTTCAGATTTCCGAAAAAGGAATTTTCTGAAAATACCAAAACACCTCTGATACCATCTCCCGACCATCATCCACATCAAGAGAAATTTCATTGAAATTTCTGTAATTACCATTCTATGAGAAAGAAATTTTCGCGAAGTTTTCGAATT